ATGGGCCCTCGTCTCTCCCTGTGGCGTCACCCTCCTCCCCTACCTGTGTGACCTGTACTCGCAGCCCACCTAAAGCCCCACACCTGGGGAGGGGCATGGCAGGAAGCGGAGCCTTCCTGGCTTCCTAAATGTAATCAAATTAATTTTTTTCTAGCTTAATTGCTGGCTTTAAAAAAACATAGTGAAATTCACAGAACATAAAATTAACCATTTTAAAGTGAACAGTTGGGTGGCATTCAGTACACTCACGAGGCCGCGTGGCCATACCATTGTCTAACTCTGGAACTTTTTCACCGCCCCAAAGGGAAAGCCCCTGCCCACCAGCAGCCCCTCCCCTCCCCCTCCCCCGGGGACTCCAAGCTACTTTCTGCCTGTTTGGATTTCCCTGTTCTGGACATTTCAAAGAGATGGAATCACACACCGTGTGGCCTTTTGTGTCTGGCTTCTCTCACTGAGTATCACGTTTTCATGGTTTGTCCACCCTGCTGTGTGGCCTGTGTCTCACACCTTGTCATGGCTAAGACTCCACTGTGTGGGTGGACACGCTGTGTCCATCCCTTCATCCACCCCTGGACACTCGCGCTGTTCCCACCTTCTGGTTACTGAGAACAAGCTTCGGTGAGCATTCATGTGCAAGCGTTGGTCTGAGTCTCGCTTCCAGTGCTCTTGGGTTCACACTTAGGAGTGAGACTGCTGGGCCACTTCTGCTTAGCTTTTTAAGGAATCAGCAGCTTCCCACAGTGCTGTGCTGTTTCACTCTCTCTGGCAGCGCACGAGGGCGCCAGTCCTCCTGTCCTAATGTCCGAGTACTTGGCCCCTTGGAGAGTGGTTCTCAGGGGTAGACAAGCAACAGCTTCCTCAGGCAGCATGTTTCAAATGCCCCGTGTTTCTCCAAACCTGGAGAAGCCACGAGCCAGACAGTGGCTAGGCCTTCCAGGCACTTTAGAACCATCTAGAAGCTTCTCCACATGTCCTGATGCCCAGACAGCCCAGAGGTGCCGATTCAGAGGCTCTGGGCCCAGGGGTGGTTGACGGGCTTCCCAGTGATCCCACAGAGCAGCGGAGCCAAGACCACAGCCCCAAGAGAGCCTCCCGGTCCCCTTCCCTTGCGCCTGGCTGCTCCGCTGGGAGGCAGAGGCCAGAGGTGGGCTTTGGTGCAGCCCAAAGACCGTGACCGCTGAGCCACAGGGCTGCACCCACATTCCAGGAAAGAGAGTGCCTGGCTGCAGGAGTTCCCGGCAGCTGGGGTGCGTCCTGGCACGTGCCATGGGTAGGCTGCGGGGCTGCACTTGGTGAGATGCGATGCCATCACCACCTTGAACTCTGACAGTTTCTGGACCAGGATTCCTGCGTGTCTTTCCATGTTGCACTGGGCCCTGCAGGTTTGTGGCGGGTCCTGATAGCCCCCTGTCTTCCTCCTGTAGGAGGCAGGCCCATGGGCCCCATCCTGCAGCTCTTCTGCTCTTCCTGGAACCCCGCCCCCATCATCTCAACACTGGTGACAGGGACACACTGAGAGCCTGTGGCTTCTCCGAGGGAGTCACCCGCCTGCACCCTTCCATGGGGAGGCCTGGGCCAGCAGTCAGGCCCAGCCGGACCCCGACACGGGGGGTGGGGTCCCAGGTTCTTCAGAGCGGGGGCTGTGCAGGGGGTGGCTTCCACCCTGATGCTGTTCCTGCCTCGTTCTGTGACTTCTGAAATGATACATGACCTTTCGGAGCCTCAGTCCCTCACCTGTTGAGATGGGTCACCAAAACTGAGCCCCAAGAGTGAGGATTAAGTGCCCTGAGTGCCCAACAGGTTCCTGCCCTCAGTCGCCGCGGTAACACCTGCCTCCCACTTCCTCCCCATTTCAAGCCCCCTTTCTCATGCTGCCGCCAAGCCAGCCTGCGGGCGCTTTTGTCTTCTGCCTGGGGAGACCCCCCAAGCCATTCCCAGCCCACAGCCTCGGGCAGGGGTCAGCATGCAGACCCGGGGGACCCTACCTGTCCAGCTGCTGACGGTCAGGTTCTGGTGCAGCAGCACGTTCTCTATGCAGCAGCCCACGTTCACGCTGGGCGTCCGCCCGAGCCTCAGGACGCTGACCACGTCATACAGGCCCCGCTCGTTCAAGGACACGGTGCTGTTCTGCAGGGCCGGGTCCAGCAGGCTGTTGTCCGTCCTGTTGATCCAGTACACGTTCGGCCTCGGATAGCCATTTGTGGACGTGCACGTGAAGGTGAACTCCTCATCCCGGGACGGGCCGCTGACCACAGGCATGCTGTAGTTTGCTGCCAAGAAGGAACACGGGCTGAGGGGTGCCGGGCTCTGAGGGTCAGAAGCGGAGGGGTGCATGGCGCCCAGGGCCAGGTTAGAGGGAGGCGGCAGTCACGCCCTGACCCCGGAGGATTAGGGGACCAAGGCCGTGGTCTGGGGAGCCGCACAGGTCCTGCTCTGCCCAAGAGTCGCCCTTCCCGCCCACGGGGGCGCTGCTGAGCCCAGCAGGCGGTGACTGGCACCCACTTCCTGCCCCAAGGAGGTCGGCCTCCCTGGAGTCCAGTGACAGAGAGCTGGCAGTTCGCCTGATACAGACACAGCCCGTCTCCGCAGAACTATGCCCTGAGCAGCTCCGAGGAGAGGCTCTAACTTTATTCCTAAGTTCTGATCTCATTTAGTGCCTTATAGTCCTCCCTCTTCATTTCATTAAAAAAACCTAGTGGGAGTTGAGCTGGAGAGCTCAAGGCAAAGGCAGTGAGATTGGGGGCTGTGTGTGAAAGCAGCTCATGGAGAACCTCCCCATGAGCCGAATGGTCTTTCAGCCACTTTGGCGTCACACGGGTAAACAGGCGCCCACCACAGAGATGGGGGCGCTCTTTACGGGAAGACACAGGTGAGTGGCCTACAGAAAATGGGTCTTACTGATACTTCTTCAGGGACATGAGGCTGCAGTGAAATCAGATCTGCCCCTTCCGTGCTCTTACCTGCCACGTGCAGCGTGACCACAACTTCCAAAATCTTTTTTAATTCTAAGGATTTCCGAAACACCAGGCAGTTAAATTTCTGTTCGTCCTGGGGGGTGATGTTGCGCAGGTGGAGAGAGAAGTCACCCCGCTTCATGCTGTCCAGGGACAGCTGGGCCCGGCCCTTGTAGTGGTTGTCGCTGTGGCCAGCGGAGTTGTTCCCCGAGAGGTAGTAAGTCACCACGGAGTAGGTATTTGGTTTGTCCGGGATTTGCCAGTAGACATAAAGGTCATTTAAATCGAAGCTGTTTCCTTCAGGGTAGACACAGCTGAGCTGGACGTCGCTGCCCACCATTGCTCTGACCTCCTGTTCCTGAATCTCTGCAATGATCCAGAAAGTACAAAATCCATTATCCACAGGTGACTCCTGGCTTCAGAGTCACACTGTCGGGGGGAGGGGAGCCTCTGGGCTGCAAGACTCAAACACCAATTCTGACTCATCTCACCAGGAAAGAAACGTGTACAGAAGATGCACATAGGAAAGCCATGCTATTTTAAAACTTCGGACATCTGCAGCAAGCTGCTCCAACGTCCTGCCCAGTGTCAGTTCTCTGCCCTGGCATGGGATGCCAACACTGGGAGAAGCAGGGATGTGGGAACCTAGGGCTACTTTCCGCTGTTTCTGCTACTTCTTGGGACTTTATAATGAATTCAAAATAAAAAGGGTTCAAAAAATTCAGACATTTTAAAAGAAAACAGCAGCTTCTCAACAACATTCGAATGCAGCCAGCACTGCACTGGGGAAGGCCCAGCGAGGTCTGGCGGTCTGTTATGGCCACTTGAATGCCCGCAGGGAAAGTGGCCATGTCCCCTGACCCATCACCCATGGGCTGGAAAGCTGGTCAAGGCCTTGGTCTCAGCTGTGGTGCCACATCCCTGTTCTATGCTCGTCTGGAAGCTGGTGGCTTTGGGGAGTGAAGGGGCTGGAGAAGCAGGCTGCCTGGCTCCTGGCTCCTCTGGAAGCGGAGGTTCTAAATCACTGGGGAGGAACTGCACTCTACTTCAGACACGAAACAGAACAAAAACCACAGAGTCCGTAGGAGCGCTCCCCTCTGTGGCTTTCAATCCCACACATGACTCTGGTCTTGGGGCCCAGCTTTCTCAAAAGGGCCCCTGGAAAAGCAAGAAGGGCAGTGGGGAGGCCTGCACCCCACGGACCTCACTGCTCAGCACTGAAGGGATTGGAAATCTCCCGTAAGAGCAGCGACAGCACTTACCGGCTTGCAGGCCGCAGAGTAGCAGCAGGAGCAGCTCAGGACTGGAAAAAAAAACAACCCGAAAGGCAGGTGAGGCCCACTTCTTCCAAATGGGAGCAGGAGATAGTTCCACCCATCATGGAAACGGGGTTACCTCCACAGCCAGCCAGCGCATCAGCCGAGGCTCCCCGGGCATCCAGGGATTCGGGGAGAGGAACCAGGACCACCACCTCCCTGCCCAGCACGGGAAGTCCCACGGGGCTGGCGACCCCTGCAAGGGACCAGCTCCTATGTTAACAAACTCCCCTCAGAGTGATAGTGAGAGTGTGCTAAAGGGCACTGAGAGGAGTCACCAACCCCTCGGTGGCCTGGCCTTGCAGGGATGGAGTCCAGGATGCTGGATAAAATCAGAAAAAAACCCACTGTTGAGGTGCTGACAGCAAGAGCATCATTTAAAATCTGAGAGGTAGAGGGGATGTAAGATGCTCCCCCATCCCATCCCATCGCCCCTGGCAGGGTCTGGTGAGCTGCAGAACAATCTTCCGAAGGAATAGGATCAATCTGAAACCAGATCTGGTGGCTCTGCCCAAGCTGGTGGGCAGCTTGGCACTGGGGCCAGCAAGCCCCTCTCCCCGCCCCCAGGGTCCTGGCGCCTTCAGTCTGGGAGCCTCTGAACCTTGCACGCCTCAGCCTAGACAGCCCTGCCGGCAGGCCTCCCAGAACGCGGTGTCCCCTGCCCCACCTGTCACCACCCTGCCCAGGCCCCGGCCCCCTCCTCCCTGGATCACAGGGGACAAAGCACAGGCAGGGCCAACTGCTCTGGGGTGTGGGTGGCGAAGGGCAGCTGTGACATGCCAGCACTTTACTTTCCTTTCTTGCAGGAATAGTCTTTACCCGCACTTCCAACTGGAGAGACTGGGCCGTGGGACCCGGGGCTGAGCAGGCTTCTGGGCTGTGAGGGTGGGGACACCTGAGGATGGGGAACCTCACCAGCTCACCAAGGAGGGGCACCGCCTGCCAACCCTACAGCTTCCCTGAAGGGGCCTTGTGGCCAAAAGCTGGGAGCAAAGTTGTCATCCACCTCCTCAGCTGGCGGGAGACCAGGAGCCTGAGCCTCCCCGGTTGCCTTTGCTGAAGCAGGAGGGGGAATCCCAGGCGCTGGGCGAAGGGGGAGGGATGTCAGCAATCGGTGGGCACGGCTGGCATTCGAAGTGAGTAACAGTGCCCTTGACACAGCCTGGCCACCCCCCTGGTTCTTCTGGGAGACCCGCTGGGGGCGGGGGCGGGGACAGGAAGTGAGCGTGGGTCGCTGTCTCCTCTCCTTCCAGCTGCTTTCCCACCGTCAGCAGGGACCCGCCCCCAGCTCGCCCGCGCGCTGCCGCCGCCCGGTCCCCGCCGCTCTCCCCGCGCCGACCCTGGGCCGACACCTCCTCCCGCAGGTGGCCGCGCCTCCCGCGGCCCCGCCGGATGCGCCCGCTGCTCCCCGCGCCCGGCGCGCCAGCGGCGCGGC